ACCACACACACACACACACACACACACACACATACATATATATATATATATATATATATATATATATAGAGAGAGAGAGAGAGCAATGATCCAATGCAATGGTTGTATCATAATATCATGCAACGACACTTCTAGAAAACCATGTTTGTGGTATTTGTATGACCCCAAATTTTGCACACACTCTCTCTTCATCTCAATAATCAATCCCCCAAAAAATAAAGTTCAATTTGAACCCTAGATATGGTCAAAATGAGTCCCCTCCAATAGCGAATCTAGACCATTCATTTTGTGAATTTCAAGATCTTAGCATTTATAAACTTAAAAACATTTTTTCCTTTTTTAACATTATTCATCCAATGATATAAAGCCTTCCAAAAAAATTGGAAAATGAAAAAATCATTCTAAGGCCTAGATTTAAGCATCTCACCAAAATGAACGGCTTATATTAATTGGGCTAAAAAAATACTTTCTAGGTTGTGTTTTCAATTTTTTTTCTTTTTATATGATTGTTCATTTGAATGAAAAGAGTGTATATTTCAAATTTTGGATCAAACAAATGGCCATAAGATGGTTTTTTAAAGTTGTTGCATCATATTATTATACAACGGTTGCATGAAATCATTGATTTCATGCAACGGATGTATCGTACTACAATGCAAGCACACTTCTAGAAAACTATGTTTTGGGCATTTGTATGACTCCAAAATTTGTACATCCATTCTCTTTATCCTCATAATCAATCTTATGGAAAAAAAATTTCAATTTGCACCCTAGATATGGTCAAAATTAGTACCGTCCATTTGGTGAATTTCAATATCTAAGCCTTGAAAAATTCAAAATCAATTTTTTCTTATTTAGCATTGTTAATCTAATGATGATAACACTATATAAAAACTTTGGGAATAAAAAAAGCATTTTGAGGCTTATATCTAACTTCTCACTAAAATGGTCGGCTTATATTAATTAGGCTAGAAAAACACTTTTTAGGGTGTTTTTTTATAAATTTTCTTTTTTGTTATTATTCTTTAGAATGAAAAGAGTATACATCTAAAAAATTGTGTCAAACAAATATCTCTAGCGTGGTTTTAATTGTGGTTGCATTATACGATGATACAACCGTTGCATTATACTATGTTACAACGGTTGCATGAAATCATTGCTCACATATATATATGGAAAAGTTGTCCCAACGCCTATACGCAAAAAATGAATAGTGATTTCGTCTACCCTCATCACCATCCAAAGTTCATCACACGGTCATGATTGTCCGGTAGTGTTTTATTTTTCATTTTTTTTCTACAAATCAAAATGACCTGAAATTTGGAGCATGTATATATCTTAGTGAGGTGCACCTAATAAAAATATAAAAATAATAATTCGTGAAAAAAATGACCAAAATACTCCCAAAACTTTTTACGCGTGAAATATGTCATTTTCGCCTATATGCATTTTGCAGTATCTTCCCATATATATATATATATATATATATATATATATATA